AGAACATCCTTCCTTCAGGGTTTAATAGACCAAGTTATATATGGGTTGGTGAGTATACACTTTTGCTACCTGTACATATTTCTTGCATTTGTGTTTCATTTCGTGGTTAAAGCTGTGTTATATAGGAGGGATTTTTAAGGGAGAAGCCCTTCGTTTTCCTTGCTTTGTTTTAATAAGTAATATATTCTTTGCTTGGGGCAGAGGGGAAGGGGAATAATAATGTCTCCTCCTGCCTGCCCCTGCTGCTCTTCCCTCCCCAAGCAAAAACAGATCACAGAATACCTAACTCAAACCAATGTTCTTACTTATTTTTCTTCATGGTAAAGCTATGCACTGAGTTTTTTGTTTTGCTTTTTGGGTGCCTCTGATTGACCTTTCCAACAGTTTTAGCAATATATACATGACACATTTTGACAGATTCTGACAATTTGGGGATTCCTGCTCTTGTAAGGATGAAGGCTTAAAATGAGGCTCTGAACCATATTAAAGGACCTGGTTGTGATTAACACCTGAATATTTACTTGGCGTACAAATGTAAAACAAGCAAATTTCCTGAGTCCAGGAAACACTGTTCTCATTGTATTCTGTGTAAATAACCCCACTTCCTTGTTTCATAATTCGATGAATATAAAAGTGGATAGTGGAAGAAAGGATCTAATTTCTAGATTTCTATACAAGTTGGGATTGGCTAGGCAGACCAGTGCTGGTGTCAGTTTTGTAATGGGCTTAGATGTCTGTTGAGATTGCTGTATTAAAGATTTTTTGAGCAACATACAATGTACTTTTTTTGTTTATTGAGGTAAAATATACATAACAAAATTTACCTTTTTTATATAAATTTTTTTAAACAAAGGTTTTCCTTTAACTCTGGAGGCCCCTCTGGATGTTAGCTGAGTTACTTGGTTAATGGTTTTGAATACTCAAGCTCTCTTTTGGTATGGGAGCTGTTACTTTTGAGTTATGAACGCAATTTAATCCTGTTTAGCTGAGTTTATTGACCTTTAAAATAGAGATATCTTTTCTGTTCAGCTTCTGAACACAACTAGTTGAGGCTAAGATAGAAACCTGATAAGTTTGTCTCTCTGGAAAAACTTGTAAGAACAGTTTTCTAGCTCATTACTTATCTGCACCTTAGTTCTTGTTTGTTTGGTACAGAATAGAACAAATTATCATATTTCCTTGATACTAAGACTAACTTTTCCTCCTAATATTTTAACATTTCAGAAAATATGTAATATGTACATCATGTAATTGTTGTTTTTCCCCCTGCAAATCCTCACTCGAAGACACATTTTATTGTTTCAGAGAAAGGATGGGAGAGAAACATCGATTGGTTGCCTCTGTATCTACGCACCCCAACTGGGGACTGAACCCACAACCAACGTTGGCATGTGCCCTAATTGGGAGTTGAACCCGAAACCTCTTGATGTACAGGATGTCCCTCTACCAACTGTGAGCCATACTGGCCAGAGCATATCATGACATCTTAAATTTCTATACTACATTGCATTTCTTTCCCCCCACAGTTATTATTAAAGTTGTTGTGTGTCATTGTGTCTGGAAAATTTGGTAGTTACATTTTCTCTTTAAATGTTCGAAAGCTGGTTTTATTTTTCATATTTTTAAACCAGAAGCCACCACTAAGTCATGGAGAAATTCCTATTTGACACCTCCGTCCTTACCCTCACAATCTTTGATGATTTTGGTTTTTCCATCAGCAGTTGTAAGAGCGCTCTGAAAAGAGGCAGCCAGTGCCCCCTGGGAAATGTCATTGTGAACTGGGACAGCTGATTTTCTGCCATTCTCTCCCAAATTTCCACTCAGTAGGGTCTCGTTACAGAGTGTTGCCCCTTTCTGGCTAATGATCCCCTGGGTATTTGAGTATTTACCCTCACCTCCTCTTTTAACTCGAAATTGAAGCAAGAGATGCTTTATCATTGTGAATGCTATTGAGAAACTTAGCTTGGAAGGTTGCTTCAGTGCTGTTGCAGGTTCTGTCTAGGGATGTCATTAGGGGTGTTAATGGAAGCTTTAAACAAAGACACTTTCCAGGTGCTGGATTCTGCCATCCTGTAAGCGTGCTCTCCAGAGACTGTATTATTCATCATGGTTATGGAAGGCTGTGGCTGGCAGTGCAACAGCCTGCAATAGTTGCACCATCTAGATCAAGAAGCTGGAGCCCTGAGACTTAGAGATGAGAGCAACAGCTTTAGTAGGTTCTGCAGCTTCTCACTGCAACCATCTTAAGAACAGAACAAAAGAATTGAGGTGAGTAGGGATGATAAGAAAAGAAAGAGGAAATTAGAAAGCCAGCCAGCCATTTTAATGGTTCCCTTTGTGAGAGAGCCTCAGGAAACAAGTGGTAATGATGCTTTTGAACTCTTAAGAATGGCATCTTTCCACTGGCCCAGGATTCCTCAGGAAATTGGTTTGTGGAATTTTATTGCGTGGATGAATTTTGCTGAGTATTGGGTTAAGTGCTGATTAGAATGGGTGTGAGTAGTTGGCCTGTCTTTCAAGCAATTTACCTTTTCAGTTTTAGTCGGCCGGCCCCCCCCCCTTTTTTTTTTGTGTAAATTTGAAAGGGATGGTTATGGGTCTGATAAGAATCTGGAAGATTTATATTAGGAGAGATGAAAGCTGTTGATTAGATTTTTAGTTCTGTAGATGGGCATGTTTATTTAGGATTGCATGTGAGATAGAGGAGGGAACAAAGCTTAAGAGCCTGACTTTTATGGTACTGATATATAATGTGATCTGGGTATAGTTTAGTTTGGGTGGGTGGGGGGTGGGGGAAGGAATGCTGTTCGGACTCTGGCCAGTGTGGCGCAGTTGGTTAGAGCGTAGTCCCGTATGCCAGAGTTTTGGGTTTGATCTCTGGTCAGGATACATACAAGAAGCAACCAATGAATGCATAAATAAGTGTAACAACAAATTGATCTCTCTCCTTCCCCTTCTCCCCCTTTTCTCTCCCTTCTTCTCTCTAAAATCAACTCTCTAAAATCAATCAATCAATCAATCAGTCAGTCAGTCAATAAAAATGCCCTCTGGGACAGTTGGCAAGATCTGAATAAGGTCTGTAGATAAGATAATAGAATTGCTTCAGTGTTAATTTTCTGATTTTGATCATCACTTTTAGGATGTACACACTGAAGTATGTTAAGATAAAGGGTCATTGTGTCTGCATGGCAAAAATATATATATTTTAGATGGAGAGATAGAAACAGATCAGCTGCTTCTTGCATACACCCCCTCCTCCCCCCCTTACCCCCCATCAGGGACCAGCCTGCAATGGGGCATGTGCCTTGACCAGGAATTGAGCCACTAACCTCTTTGGTGAATGGGACGATGCTCAATTCACTGAGCCACATTCCCCAGGCTACCCCTCTCTCTCTCTCTCTCACTCTCATATATATATGGCATCTTTCCATATATATATGAGAGTGAGAGAGAGAGAGAGTCAATATCTAGACTATATAGTCTAGATATTGCTAAGTGTAGAGAGACAAGCAAATATGGTGAAATAGTAACATTTAGTCTGGGTGAAGGGTATGTTAAAAATCTTTTTTGCACAAATTTCCTTTTCATGGAGATAAGAACTTTACTTTTTTAAAATTGTGAATAACTTTTCAGTTCAGTTCTAAAATGCATTAGGTATTAAGAAAACCAAAAAGCCAATCAGAAAGAATGTATGCACCATGTGTTCATAGCAGCACTATTTACAAAAGATAAGATCTGAAAACAGCCCAAGTGCCCATTAGTAGATGAGTGGATAAAACGTTGTGGTACATTTACACCATGGAATACTATGCAGCAGTAAAAAAGGATTTCACCCTTTGAGATAGCATGGAGGGACCTGGAGAGTATCATGCTAAGTGAAATAAGTCAATCGGAGAAAGACAAGTATCACATGATCTCACTCATATGTGGAATCTAAGTAACAAACTGATGAACAGAGTGGATCCAGAGACATGGAAGCATGGAACAGAGTGCAGAATCTTGGAGGGAAGGCGGGGGTGGATGAGTGGGTGGAAAATAGTCAACCAAGAACCTTGTATGCATATATGCAGGGCCCATGGCCACAGACGGTGGAGTGATGAGGGCCTGGGGTGGGGATGGCGGTGAGTTGGAGGGGGTCAATGGAGGGGAAGGGGAGACATATGTAATACTTTCAACAATAAAGAATTATTAAAATAAAAATTAAAAATAAAATACATTAGGTAGAAAGCTTCTACATATATATTTTTAAAATGTAAGTCCTAGTGCAGACCTTATAGTTTTGTTTTGTTTTTTTAATCTGAGATTCTATACCTTTGTTGAGGGAATTCTGTAGCATCTTGAAACAATGACATAAAATTGCTTTATGTTCCAGTAACTAGATTGCTAATTGAGAACCTCTCAAAGAAACAATCTTTTAAATCTAAAAGAATAGAAATAAAATTTTAATAATAAATACTTTGGGGAGAGGAAGATAGGTTCGTTTCCTGTATTATTGGAAATGGTTGATTATGAGGGGGATAAATAGTGAAGGGAAAAAATTTTAATTAATAACTAAAATTGTTTATTATGATTGTAAATGTATTCTAGAAGGAAATATATACAAATTAAGATGATTGTGTTAGAACTGGCATTTTAAATAGCTTTCATTTTTTCACGCTTGTATATTGCTTTTAAAAAAATATATATTTTTATTGATTTCAGGGAGGAAGGCAGGGAGATAAAGAGAAGTATCAATGATGACATAGAATCATTGATCAGCTGCCTCCTGCACACCCCACACTGGGAATCGAGCCTGCATCCTGGGCATGTGCTTTGACCAGGAATCCATCCGTGACCTACTGGTTCATAGGTCAACACTCAATCACTGAGCCACGTGCCAACTTGGCATATGTTGCTTTTTTAAATAAGAAAGTTGTTACTTTGTCTGTACTGGTACCTTTAAAATAACCTTCCTTCCTTTATTCTACAGAGTGGAGGCTGTGTCCCACAGACTCGACATCATGAACATATTTGATCGGAAGATCAACTTTGATGCGCTCTTAAAATTTTCTCATATGTAAGTATTTTGTCCTCGACTCCAGTTTCTTTTCCTTTCATATCTTTTTCCCCCCTAGTTTATTAACTTCTGTATATTTACTAGAATCCTGAGGATAAGCACCGGTTTCTAAGGACTGCTGTGAAAAAGCTAGAAAGCCATTTAGTTATTCTATTTTCAGCTCTGATTGTTCATAATTTTGGGTTTGGGGCTCTTCCCCAGCATTTTAATATTCTCTATTAACCTGTTTTCAGAAATTCTTTTTTTAATTGTAATATAACTTGCACATATTCCCTGGAAAGGAGAAGAGAGGCAGTGATTCTTAGCTTAGAGCTGAGCTTGGATTGATCCCAGAGTGATGGCTGTTATTAACATTCTTTCCCAGATCCCCCTCCACACAGCAGCACCTGAAGAAGGTCTATGCCAGCTTTGCGCTCTGCATGTTTGTGGCGGCTGCAGGAGCCTATGTCCATGTGGTCACTCATTTCGTTCAGGTAAGAGCAATAAAATATAATTGGAAGAAACTAGCTCAGCAGAGTGGTCCAAAGCCTGTGCTCCTCCTTAATCCTTTTCAGTGGTTTGGCATCTGAACTCAGCCAGAGTCAGCCTGTAAAGCAGGACATATGCAGAGCCATTTGAATTTTCTGGCAACTCTGCCCTCCAGATACAGAAGTGGTTAGCTTCACGACGTCTGAACACTGACACCGAGTGATGGTGTTGCTGATATACAAGATCCCTACCCACTGAGGAGAGGCATGATGTGCATGCTGGGATTCTTCTCCACAGTAGCCTTTTTATCTTTAGCCTGAATGACTGGAGTATTTAGATACAAAACACTGATTGTATGATTAATTATCAGGAGGGGCAGGGTTAAGACCTTTAAGGATTTGACCCATTTTACTCTCTGATACACTTATTATCTGCACATTTGAGTGAAAAATGCTTCAATAATTCATTTTCCTGTGTTGAGGGAAAGTTTGGGTTTGATTAGCAGGAATAGAAGGGGGGCAATTGAGGGATAAATAAGTTTAAAATTCTCACTAGCCACGACTTATTGCTTTTAGTGCTTCCTTTTTAGTGTAAGTACAAGGATGCACTTGTGTTGGCATTGGCACTGCTGAAAACTATTTCACACTCAGGTATTTCCTTGCAGGGGCGGTGTGAAAAATTATTCTAGATAGTCAAAAGCCAGGAATTTGATCCCTTGAATTTAGACTAAAACATAATCTACCTCTTAGGCAAGAGTGTCCCTTTTTTTTTTTTTTTTAATATATTGATTTTTTACAGAGAGGAAGGGAGAGATATAGAGAGCTAGAAACGTTGATGAGAGAGAAATATCGACCAGCTGCCTCCTGCACACCCCCCACTGGGGATGTGCCCGCAACTCAGGTACATGCCCTTGACCAGAATCGAACCTGGGACCCTTCAGTCCGCAGACCAATGCTCTACCACTGAGCCAAACAGGTTTTGGCAAGATTGTCCCTTTTAAGTAATGTAAAATAAAGTCATCCTCATTAGCCATGGATTTCATATTTGCAAATATACCTAATCACTAAAATGTATTTGTAACCCTAAAATCAGTATGTTTGCAGACATTTGCAATCATATCCAGAGCAGCCAAACCATCACATCTGTATGTTCCAGCTGAGGTTGAACCAGGCAACACACGACCTTATTTCAAGCTCTCAAGCTATAAACAATAGTCCTCTTCACGGTCTATTTACTAGTACAACAATTTTTTGTTCATTTTTGTGTTTTTTGTTGAAAATTTTGCTATTTAAAATGGCTCCAAACATGTTGCTTAAGTGCTCTTACTGTTCCTAATTGCAAGAAGACTACTATGTGCCTTAGGGAGAAAATGTCTGTTAGAGAAGCTTTGTTCAGGCATGAGTTACAGTGCTGTGACTGTGAGTTCAATATTAATGAACCAACAATAAACATCAAACGGCCTTCAAACAGAAAACACACATAAAACAAGGTTATGTATTAATCAATTATGAAAATGTAACTGGTAGCTCCCAAGGACCTAACTTTTTATTTCCCACAGATGCCAGTTGTTCAGTAGTCCCTAATTCATTGTTCATAGAGAGTTTACAGAACATACCTACTGTGGAAAACAACTTATACTTTTAAAGGAAGAAAGGACCTTCAGTGCCTACATACATCCCTAATGATTTCTCTCTTATATGCCAGTAGGTTTTTCCTATTTGCTTGTAAAAGAAAGAATTTTTTTCTTACAAACTAAGGCATGTTTGTCATAAAGAATTTGGATAACAGACTAATGATAAGTAAATGTACAACTATAATCCTATCACTCAGAAATAACTACATGCTCTTAATGTTTTGATACTTTTCATAGTTGTTAATCCTTACTGGAGGACATTTTAATTTTAATTTTATTCATTTTTTTCCTTTTTTTTCTTTTTTTTTAAATTATTATTGTTTGAAGCATTACAAATAGTAGTACATATGTCTCCTTTCCCTCCTCTTGACCTCCCCCCAGTGGAGGACATTTTTAGAGAGAATAGAAGGGAGAGGGGAGGGAGGAAGAGAGAGAGACAGGGAGACATAAAGACATCAGTGTGAAAGACACACATCTATTGGCACCTCCCAAACTCACCCAACAGGGGCCAGGGATAGAACTTGCAAACCAGATACCTGCCCTTGTGCCCTTGATCGGAATCGAACCTACGACCCTTCCATGCTCAGGTGGACACACTAACCGCTGAGCCAGGGCAGTTTGGGTACTTTTTTGATACTTAACCTTTGTCCTAGTCCTTTTAGGTTGCTATAGCAGAATATTGTAGACTGAATGGCTTAAACAAGAAACAGTTCTTTTAGTTTTTGAAGCTAGAAAGTCTGAGGTAAAGCTCCAGCAGTTGTATTGTGTGGTAAGGACCTTCTTCCTGATTGATAATCGGCCATCTTCTCGCTGTGTCCCCACATGGCGGAAGGAATAAGGGAGTTCTCAGGGTTCCCTTTTATAATGGCCTTAATCCGCTTCATGAAGGCTCCACCCATATGGCCTAATCATCATTTAAAGACCCTATTTCTAAATACCATCATATTGGGGGTTAGAATTTAAAAAAGAATTTGAGGTGGGAGATGCGTTCCGTTTATAGCACCTCTCTCAGTCTCTTTTCTCTGGATATGTACATGTATTTGTGTGTGTTAAAGTGATCAAAAAGGGGTCATTTCTACTTGTTCTACAGATTGGAATGTGCTTCTAGCACTTGTCACTTTGGTTCATTTTTTCCTCTTTCTTGGGTAAGACTCATGGTTGGACTAGGATAGTTGTGACCAGAAGAGCCTCCAGCATCCACCGTGGTCCTAGCCCGGTCCTTTAAGTCTCCTTTTTAGCCCCCATGCCTTTCCCACTGTCTCTAGGTTAGAAGCAAATATTAGAATGTTCAGATGAATAAGTGAACCTAATAAAGTCTCTTGCAAAATAAATTCTATACTTTTAAGTATTCAGTTATGACTCTGGTTCTGACAGGCTGGCCTGCTCTCTGCCCTGGGCTCCTTGGGGTTGATGATTTGGCTGATGACAACACCTCATAGCCATGAAACCGAGCAAAAAAGACTGGGACTTCTTGCTGGATTTGCTTTCCTTACAGGTATGTATGTTACAGGATTGGTTTCATTTAGGGGTTTGGGGGGTGGAGACTGTATATTTTAGTACTCTTTAGATCAGGGTCCGAGACATGTATTTATTCTGATTCATCCCAACTGGTACACTTAACAATCCAGCCTTACAGTTGAATGTATTTTGCCTTGTGCTGCTTTTTTATTTGCCTTGTAAGCTATTTGTGACTAGTGGCTGATTTGTGTGCTTGAATGAATGAGGTTTAAGAGCATAGGTAGCATAAGTTGTTAATGATAGACATTTGATTAAACAAGGTCCAAAAATTTTAGTTGGACTCATACTGGCAACTATCATAGAAGCATCCAACTATTCTGAACCTACATACAATTAATTAAAGCCATCCATTGAGAACCATCATAAAGGGCCCTTTGCTGATCTCATGAAAAAAATTAAAAGCATAGCACTTCTAGAATTATCATTAAGAGAAACCGGACTAAAGCTACACAGTAAGAATACTTGCAAAGCAGCATTGGAGTTGATACAACTGGTTCTGAGTGAGTCTAATGTATACGATGTTGAAGAAATTGTAAGAAGGCAGTAATTTAGAGATTACGATTTTTAGATGAGGAAAGCTAGTTTTTGAAGACATTAAGGAGTGGAATCAGAAGGGGAGTGGCCAAAGTAGAGGTAATGTTGGAGCCAGAACAGAACAGGCTGCTGCTGTGTCGTCCTGTTGGCACATGATCACCTGCAGAACTGGTCTGGCCTTTCTTGCTACAAAGAGAGTCAGTCCTGGATGACTACAAGGTTGCTGGCTACAACGCTCTGCTTTACTCTTAATCCTTTTTTTCTAATCTAATTCCTGATCTGGCCCACATTACAGGCCCACATCACTCCTCTTCAGAGTTTTGCAGCCTTTATGATGTAGCTCAAAAATGTTTGACATGCTGAGGGTTAGAGAGCAACCAAAGGACTTGTACACATACATATTAGCATAACCAATGGACACAGACACTGAGGCAGTGGGAGCTTGCCTGGGGTGGGAATGTTCAAATGGGGGAAAAGGAGACTTACATAAAACTTTAGACAAAAAAAACTGTTTCACATGCTTATTTCATTTTTCCTAATCTCTGTTCCTCCTGGGAGTCATCAGTGATTTTCAGCTAAGAGGACATTTTGCGGCTCTATAAATAAATAACTTTGTCAAGTTCCCTTGAAAACAAAGAAAGTGGAGAGGTTTAATTACTTTAGTCCACATGTTTTGTCTATCTTTTTAGGAGCATGAGCATGCTTGTGCTATTTAATGATGAGCTTTTGGATGAGGGTCCTCTTCAAGAATTGATGGTAGTGCCCTTGCTGGTTTGGCTCAGTGGATAGAGCTTCAGCCTATGGACTGAAGGGTCCTGGGTTTGATTCTGGTCAAGGGCACATGCCTGGGTTTCGGGCTTGGTCAGACGTGCAGGAGGCAACCAATCAATGATTACCTCTCATCATTGATGTTTCTATCTCTTTCTTCCTCTCTGAAATCAATAAAAATGTTAAAAAATAAAGAAAAAGAAAAGCAAGAAAGAATTTATGGTAGTAATGTGTTCTGGGGCTTTTTGTTTTCTAGGGGTTGGCCTGGGCCCTGCTCTGGAGTTTTGCATTGCTATCAACCCCAGGTAACTATTTTGGAAGTGTCTTATTCTTTCTACTTTTGTGAATGTATCTTCTAAATATAAATTATTTCTATACCCTCAATCTCATGGTCTTTTCCTTAACAGCATCATTCCCACTGCCTTCATGGGCACCGCAATGATATTCACCTGCTTCACCCTGAGTGCCCTCTACGCCAGGCGCCGTAGTTACCTCTTTTTGGGAGGTAAGTATGGATTGGAAAACACAGAGAGGGTCTCCACTCTAGGATTCTTGCTAGATCTATTTCCCTACCCTCGCCCCCCAACTTCTTGTGATTATCGGGGTGAAGTAGGAAGCCTTTATTTGGGGAGAAATGTAAGGAATGACTTTAACTGGATTGCTTTACTTTGGCTCCTCTCAGGATGGCTTTTTGTCATCTCTTACAGGTATACTGATGTCAGCCATGAGCCTGATGCTCTTGTCTTCCCTGGGGAACCTTTTCTTTGGATCCATTTGGCTTTTCCAGGTGAGACTTTGCATATAACTTTCCAGGGGCTCTTTGCCTCACACTTTTTTCTTGTTTAACCTTAAAGCAAGATAGACCAAGAGCCCTCCAGAGTGCTCACTTTGTTGGGCAGGGCCCTGAAGCCTCCCCTCTAGCTTCCTAGCATGGAGCCTTCTGCACATAAAAGTTCAGATTAAGCAAGGGTTGCACATTGCTAAGAAGACAACAGTTTGCTCAGAGATCATTTCTCTAAGGTCTGTCCAGCCAGCAGCTCATTGTTAAAATGATTGAATCTCTTACAGTGACCAAAACAATTAGTGCAGTATTGTGCTGACAGAAGTAATGAGGTCTTCGCTATAGGCTGTGGCTCCCGTGCATGTCAGTGTCAGTGGATTAGCATTCGATGTACTTTCAAGTGGCCAAGAGCCAGAAAGAAGTACGGCTTTTTCCTCAGTGGTCTCTACCAGATGGTAACCTCATCTCTTCCTTTTGCTAGGCAAACTTGTATTTGGGGCTGATGGTCATGTGTGGCTTTGTCCTTTTTGATACTCAACTCATCATTGAAAAGGCTGAAAATGGAGATAAGGATTATATCTGGTAAGTGTGAAAACTGGTCTTTAACAAAAATGAAGGGTGAGGCATACTGCTCTGTTCTGCAGCTCTTTTCTGAATTCTAGGGACAGTCCTTTGCCTGACCCACCTTTCTAGTGATGAGTAGACCAGATGGCATTGGCCTACCTTTGGGGGTGTATGTGGGAGGATACCCATGGTTTTGAAACAATGTGCCAGATAGAATAGTTTCTCTAAATTCCTGAAAAATGTCAGATTTTTAATTTTTTTATTTTTTGTTAATCCTCACCAGGAGATATTTTTTTCCATTGATCTTTAGGGAGAGTAGAAGGGAGGGGAAGAGAGACACATCAATTGGTTGCCTCCTGTACACACCCAACCAGGGCCCAGGCTGTGGTGGAGCCTGCAACTGGGATAAGTACCCTTCACCGGAATCGAACCCAGGATCCTCCAGTCCGCAGACTGACGCTCTACCCACTGAGCAAAACCGGCTAGGGCTCCATACTTTTAATAGTGGTTACCTCCATACTTTTAATAGAGGAGAAGAAAAGGGACCCTTTACCTTTTATTCTTTATATTTTTGTATCCTTTAAATCTTTAATAATGAGAATATATACACATAAATTTAAAATATATGTATTTTTTTCATGTTGAAATTCTCAAAGTTAGTAGTGCAGGGTTCAGAGTTAGGCATGAATTTCTCTTTTTTTTCTATGTTACATGGCTTAATTGAATTGAAAAGATTTCTAACAGTTTTATTTCCTTAGTTGGTGGAAGTACTCGTGGGTGGGGATTGTGTTTTGTATCTTTGTGGAAAGGAAAGTGGAAGTGCAGTTTGTGATCTGGCTCTCTTTCAGGCACTGTGTGGACCTCTTCTTAGACTTCGTCACTCTCTTCAGAAAACTCATGATGATCCTGGCCATGAACGAGAAGGTTAGTCAGTCCCCTACCCGAAGATGAGCAAATAGCTCCTGAGCTCAGTATCTGTGTGTGCTTCGAATTTAAAACTTAACTTACATACTGTGTAGGTCCAGGGTTATATATTGCAGGCCACTGAGTAAGAAGTAAACCTGAAGTCTTTAGCTAGTGGAGCCAAAGGAACAAATAAAAACAGTCCTTAATAAGCACAAACTTAATTCTAGTATCCAAGGGTAAAGAGCTTCAGTGGTAGCAGCTATACGAAGACTATAAAGACTGTAAAGATGGTTATGACTCAGAAAAGAATATTCTAGAGGATTTTTATAATATTGGCAAAACAGCTTTTGTAAATGTATTTCAGAAGTAGACCAATTTATCCATTTGTTGGACTTGATTTTTTTCCAGGGAAGCATTCTGGGTCTGGTTAGTGTACTCCAGCAGCAGGGAACAATGAGACAGCTTCTCTTACAGTTCTTACTGTGACAGGACACAGTGTGGTGGTGGAAGCAGGTGACTAGATGGGTGTGCTGCTGCTTTGGTCTGTGCCACAGTTGGACTGAGCACCCAACACGTGTCCCAGTTTCAGTCAAAGCAGCTCATCTTTCATTAGTTTAAGACACTGAGCTTCCACCTAAGATCTACTGAAGAGTTCCCTAGACTAGAATATTTCTGAATGTTAGCTTATACCCAGGATTTGTGCTTCCTTCTCAGGCCAAATGGAAAATTGGTGGTCTCAGCCTGGGTCTTGACCTCTCTAGTTCTTTTAGGGTAGACTGCCTGACTGCAGCCTTCCCTGATTGGGATCTGAGCTGTGGGGTTGTGAGTAGCCAAGAGTGGTCACGTGGCCCACAGGTACTCTTGTGGCAGTAGGAACGGTTGCTTGAAGGTTAGTCTTATCAAAAGTGTGTCAGCAACTTGGGGGTCCACCAGTGGACCAACTGTTACAGTAAAGAAGCATTTCTCATTCCTTTTTATTGTCCTGCGCCCTTCCAGTCCCTAACTAAACGCAGCCAGTATTGGCTCAAAGAGTTTAGTTTGAATGTCTGATGTCAAAAATTAATTGGGTAATTTTTTTCATTTCCAGGACAAGAAGAAAGAAAAGAAGTGAAATGACCATCCAGCCTTTCCCATTTTGGCTTCCACTCCCTCCGCCCCCTCATTTTCTCTTTGCACACATTACAGGTGGCGTGTTCTGTGATAATGAAAAGCATCAGAAAAGCTTTTGTACTTTGTGGTTTTCTCTATTTTGAAATTTTTGATCAAAAAACTGATTAGCAGAATATAGTTTGGAGTTTGGCTTCATATTCCTGGAGTTCTTCCCCACTCTGTTTTCTGTCATCCCCATCCCTAGCTTCTTCCCCTGCTTAGGCAGCCAGTCCACCGTGGTGAGGAGTGGAACCCGCAGAGGGAGACAGCTCCAGGGTCCGCTTTCCGGCTGAGCTGTACCAAGCGGATGTGAACTGTTCGGTAGAGCCACCTCGGCCCTTCCTTCCTCAGCGCTGTGCGTGGCCAGTGCCCGATTTCTATGGGACTGGGCAGCGTGTTTTCCTTTGGAAGGAAGTTTGCTGGTCCTGTTGTCACTCTGGCTCATTACAGCTGAGCTTCCGTCAGCCCCTGCAAAGAACAGGAGGAGCCTCTGGTGGATGCTTTGCCTCTTCTGAGCTGTCCAAGGCACTGCTGGTCTGGCCGCACACACCTCTCCGCCTTGCTACCATCACAAAAGGAATGCGGATCTCTGTGTTCTCTTTCCTGCCCTAGTCTGGCCCTCAGGGAATCTGCCTGCTTTCCATCCCAGGTGGGCGGACTTCAGCCCAAAGGAAGACTGTTCATGTCAGGCACTGAGAAAAGGCTGGTTGGCAAGGTAGAACCTAGAATTCCCATATTTCCCGGCCTTTATTTTACTGGTTATCACCTTAGTTACTGAGTGGCCTTTACCCAGGAGAGGAAGAACAGGGGAGGGTAATGGTTGAGCCTCTACTAATCCTGAGAGATAAACCTAGATAAGGGCTTGTTTGGGACAAAATCTCTGCTGAGTGGTTTTTTGTTAGATCTACAGAATGGGGCTGTGATGACTTGGGAGGCAGCATTCATAAGGGTTCTTCAGTGCATTTTTGTTTTCTCCCATCTGGTAATGTCCTACCGAATAATAGAAGGTGTCAAGCCAGCAGTTTTGGCAGGAGATAAATGTTTATTCTACGCATGCATTTTAGTTTTTGGCTGTACACCTGTTTCCGTAAATCCGCAGTCTTCCTGGCAGGGCCCAGGGTGACTGGGCTTGCAAGACACCTGATTGCCTGCAGCTTTTTGGTTGCAAGTCGAGAGGGAGCAGTGCTAATAGGACACCAACCCTACCCTGTGGGCTGTACAGTCAGCTGACAAATGGACAGGCCTTGGGAGCAATTGTGGCTCTGGCTACTCAGGGCTTCAGTGTAAGGAGACTGAGCCATTGAAAGCTTATTGCCAATAGGACACCATTTTTGGCTCTGCCTGTTCACACCCAGTACACAGTTTGACCCAATGCCTCCTGATTTTCAGTGCACCCTATCCCTGAGCCGCCCCACGAAAAGATTAATTCCCCCGCTGTGTGTATTCGCAGGTGGCGTGCCACCCAGAATGGCGCACTTCCACAGAGGAGGCTGCCCTCTGATTTAGCTGCTGCCTCCAGCCTCTGGCTTGAGAACTTACTAAAGGGACTTCCTTCCCATTAAATCCCAGTAGCAACTCCAGACATTTGTTGATTCTCTGCTAGGTCCGAGAATGCGTTAATATCTCTTGAAGCCAAACTCCACCTCTTGTGCTTTTTTGCTTTGGATAAAGGAGTTTTTCTTTAGAAACAGTGCCAAGAATGACAAGATATTTAAAAAAAAAAAAAAAAATAACACAAAAAACTACTTTTAAAGAAAATGTCTAACAGGTTTTTAAACCAGTAATCACTGTAATTACCGCTTTCTTTTCTAGTTCATTGGTTTTCAGCTCAGGCTGCATTCTCTAACTCATACTGTGAAAACAAAGGTGTTTTTGATCAGAAATATATGAAATCTACATAGTCTTAATTTGTAAAAAAAAAAAAATAAATAAAATTCCTTAACCTTTCCTGGTGTTAATGTGTTTTAAATTCAAGTCTACAGCTGAACATGGGGCTTAGGATTTACTGGGAGGAGTTCATGGGATAAGATTTGTTCTAGGTGTGAATAGAAAGAAACAAGGACCCCCACTTAGGCACCCATTATGTAGCCTCAGCTTGCCACAAAGGTTGGGAATTTTCTCTGTCCAATATATAGCCCAGGCCTTTTTCTGCCCTCCCCTTCCCAACCTTTATTGTAGGCGATGTGTGGTAGCACGTGTGATTGGTTCCAGTGCCCAGCCACATCAGCCAGGCTCTATTCTAGGGACTAGGAATCTTCAGTGAAAAACATCCCTTTCCTTGTTCATGAGATTATAAACTAAAGTTCGTGTTACAATCTGGTTATTCCATTTTGGCAGTTTGCCCTCTGGTTGTCATGCTCATTGTAGCCACAGAGCTTCCTGTTAGGATTTGAGTGTTAACTGGTTTGTCCAGGTTACTCCCTGTTGACCTTGGACTCCACATACCCCCATCCCAGCTGAGGATCGCCACCCCTCTCCCCAACTTAGAAAGTGTACCTAAAGCATTTTTTTTTTCTTCTCTTGCTGACTGAAAAAATGTCAGTCTCAGATCATTTTTAGTTTATTGCTCTTTTAGAGAGAGGAACATCTGTTTGTTGTTCCACTTATTTATGCATCCATTGGTTGCTTCTTGTATGTATGTTGACCAGGGATTGAACCCGAAACCTTGGTGTATTGAGATGATTCTAACAGTGACCCTGTCAGGGCCAGTCTCAGATTTAGGGGAAAAAAAAAAAATAAAAAAAAATAAAAAAAAAAAAAATATATATATATATATATATATATATATATATATATATATATATATATATAGTTATATACATAACATACATATATTAATTATATATATATATATATAAACACATGTCCTCCCCCCACACACAATCCTCTCCAGCCTGTCCTCCCACCCCCCCAAGTTCTTTAAAACCCAATTTTATCTTTGTGCTGCCTTCTATTTTGAGTGGGGGGTGGGGATAAGTTACCAGGCACAACATAGTGCTGACATTTTTTCATAGTGCTGACATATCAGGCACTGTGCACAATGCTTTACAGGTTTTAATGTTTCCAATCTATATATAAAAGCCTAAGCAACTGATTGGTATCTATGACATGCACTGACCACCACAGGCATGGAAACATGAAATAGCCTGATGAATCTCAAAAGGGGGAAGGGTGGGAAGAGATTAAACAAAGATTTTATATGCATATTAGAGGCCCAGTGCATGGATTTTTGTACTGGTGGGGTCCCTTAGCCTGATCTACATCCTCTCACAATCTGGGGCCCCTCAGGGAATGTTGGGGGGAGGGCTTCGGCCCAATCCCCACAAGTGAGGCTGAGGGACCCCACCGGTACAAGAAACCAGGCCTCTGGTAACCTAATAAGGTGGTATATTGACTATATTTGATCAGTAGCTTCTGAAGTCATGCCTGTAGGCAGCTACAGATCTATGTCTAGAAAGAACCAAGGAGGTCGGTCTCCGGAGCCCCAGCTTTTCACTGTGCCCTGTGTAGGCAACACTGAAGTTAGTGCCCCTTGGGCCAGTGCTATCCTTTCCATCCTGACTTTCATCCTGGCTACAGCTCCAACCCGGGTGGAGAGGGAAATGTGAGGTGATTTGAGCAAAATCTCCCCAACCCCAATCTTTATAACCTCTTAGTCTTTTCTTCAATGAGCTCAGTTGCAAATTAAACAGAAGTGGTTAACACAGCTCATTCCATCCTAGCAGACCTGCTGGCTTGAACTAGAGTGAGAAAGTCACTGGTGCAGAAGTGGAAGGACCTTGTTTGTTGGGTAAAGGGACAGTCTGTCTGGCCTGAGCAGATTAGCAGATGGGGGCACCTCCAGGATGGGGATAAAGACAGCCGAGCGGCCCTAGCTGGTTTGGCTCAGTGGATAGAGCGTCAGCCTGCAGGCTGAGGGGTCCTGGCTTCGTTTCTAGTCAGGGACATATGCCCTAGTTGTGGGCTCGATCCCCAGTAGGAGGCATGTAGGGGGCAGCTAAACAATGATTCTCATCATTGATGTTTCTATTTCTCCCTCTCTGAAATCAATAAAAAATTTTGAAAAAAAAAAGACAACTGAATGCAGCAGAACTACAGCAGGCATTATGTACTTCCATGGGTAAGTATGGTGGGAACAGTGGAAGCAGGGAAGGGTTTTAGAAATGATGCCTGAGCTCAAAGACTGAGTCAAAGTGAAACCCAATGATGGGAATGGATATTTCCAGGTCAAAGGATTAATATGAGAAAAGGCGCAGGAGCATGATTCAGCATGGGGTGTGCTGGGTGTGGTCAAAAGTTTGATTTTGCTAGGTTGTGAAGTTTGAGAAGTCCTCGTACAGGCATACCCTAGGAGTCATTACAGGGTTTTTCCAGACCACCACAATAAAGCAAATATCACAATAAAGTGAGTTGTACTTTTTTTGACGATGGAGGTTCTTGCTTTCAAATTGTAATAGCAACAGCAACAAAAGGCAACTTTTGTAAACTCAATAAAACAAGGTGAGCCTGAATTCCATGCTAAGGAGTTGGCTCTGTCCTGAGGGTGACAGAAAGCACTGGAAGGCCACCAGGCGACTGAAAAATAACCCGGCAGAGGGGCCATTGGAAGACAATTACACTCTTAATGCCCAAACTGTGGTCTCATTACCCAATAAAAAAAAGGAACCAGAGCTCCTGGGATAAATGGTGCTGAAGGTCTGCACAGGAAATGTACAAGATGAACCTGGAATCTTGTTACTCCAGAAAGCAAAGAAGCTCTCAAAGCTGACTGCTGTAATTCACAGGGAACCAGAGGCCAAGCTGAAGAGGCTCCTACTGGCTACAGATGGGATTGTTGCCTCACAGATAAGAATTATAAGTGCAATTGGATTGAAATAAAATATTTTAAAATTCATGATATTTTAAAAATATCTTACTGGCCACCTTTGGAGGAAGCTAGAAACCAGTCACCTCTGCATACTT